ATTTGTATTAATACGCAACTAACCACATCCATAATAACCAGTCTTTCTTCACTGAAAACAGTGCATGCACTTTCATAACCACCAAAACAAAAGTCCGCCACAGGACCTATCCCCAGCCAGTTAAATTGAGTTGACGTCTTTTCAAGTACCTGTATATTTGCTTCAAGCATTTGCATGTGATGATGTCATATTCCTCTTCTAAGTTTACAAATAACTTCGTGATTAACTAACTAACAAACTTCCTAAATAAATATACATTAATGGGTAAGTAAATAACCGAATATGAATAAAAAAGAAAACTAACAAACCAACGATGTCTCTGTTAACAGACAAAGGCTCTTCACAGTCACTGGACCATGTATTTAACACGTTCAAAATAGTTTTAGGCTCCACAACAAATTGTCGCAATCAATGACGCGAAAATTCTGCCATCCCTGTCCTAGTCTTCAAAAAGTCTGTTCCTTTAGATGTCAGTGTTTTTCTTCTGAGCTGTAATGCCGTGTGGACTTGTAGGTGGAACATACTGTCTCAATCTTCAGGACCAAAATAGTATATTTCTCCGAAACGTCAGAACATGGGTTCTCACTCTTTTTCGCTGGCGTACCATTAATTCTAATTAAACACACGCATGAATTCAGGGAAAATATTATATTTCGATGTTCTTACTTAGTTCGTGTACCACTCAACATTGGCTCGCGTACCAGTCGTACGCGTACAATAGGTTGGGAAACGCTGCGGTAGAAGATACCTTCAAAAGACCACACGGCTTCAGAACCCATAAGACCAAGACCTACATTTTCACCGCGGTGAAAACCTCTTATTACATGTTCCCCTAGATAACCTCAGCAAAATTCTATATGCATATAAAGTTTCCTACAACCAAGATATGTGTAAAACCCATAATAAGCACAGTTATGACTTACAAGACGCTGACTTAGGAGGGCTCAGAAAGCAGCTGTTTAACTTTTAAGTTGAGGAAGCAATGAAGTGAAAGACAAGTTCTGGATAGGAATAAAGATTCAACGGGAAAGGACAGTAATCTGATGATATTGCCCTTTTGGCTGAAAGGAGGAAGATGTAGAGAAATTATTGAATGGTATAAATAGATTACTCAGCGAGCAATTCGGCTTAAGGTTAGACGAAAGCAAGACAAAAGTTATGAGGAGCGGCAGAAATGAGAATAATGATCCGTTAAATATCAAAATTGGGAAAGACAAAGTAGAAAAAGAGAAGGAATTCTGTTATTTAAGAAGCAAAATCACAAAATATGGACGAAGCAAGGAAGACATTAAAAGCAGATTAGCACAAGCGAAAAGAGAACTCTACTAATGTCAAACATTGACTTGGAGTTAAGAAAGATTTTTCTGAAGTTATGTGTTTGGAAGAGAACCATGGTCAGTGGGGAAGGCAGAAATAAGAAGGGTAGAAGCATTTGAAATTTGGTGCTATTGAAGGAAGTGGACTGATAAAGTACGAAATGAGCTGGTCTTAGACAGGATAGGCGAAGGAAGAAGTCTATGGAAAAATCTTACGAGAAGAAGAGATAGGATGGTGGGACACATTCTGAGGAACCCAGGATTGGTTAATTTGGTAATGGAAGGAACAGTTGAAGGGAAGGAGTGTACGGGGAGACAAAGATTGGATTATGTGACGTAGATTTTTGAGGAATTGAAGAGATTGGCGCAAGATAGACGAAAATGGTGGACCACATCAAACCAGTCGAAAGACTGATGACAAACAAACAAAAAACATAAACCAAATTCTATCACGTAAATTCACAAGTAAAATTCGAGTCATAACACGGCCTTTCTTTTGTGCCTTCAGCAATACTTCAGAATGGCAAATGGCGATTTACGACGCAAGGAATTTCCAACTTCATAAGTCATGTGAGCGCACCAGTTATAGGCTGAACTACATTTGGGTCTACTGGGTCTATCAACACTCCCCGGAAGTACTAAACTGAAAGGAAGTTTGGTTAAAAGGCGTGCGTAAACGCAGTTAGCCAGCACTATGCGTTCCTGGAAAGCACGGTTTAAAATGACACCAAAGGCGGTTCGAAATATTACCCCGTTATCTACGTACAGCACGCCTCAAAACAATTTACGAGGTTCAGACCACCACAAGTTACAGAAACTGGGTAACTTACACATTAAAAGAGGGTCAGGACGTAGGGCCCATACAAGGTGACATTTCAGGTTCTCACAGCGGCCAGAACGAAGATGGGATATTTTGCCGTGAAGTCTTGTAGAACTTTACCAACGTTTCAGAGGTCCTTCCAGCCTACGTCATCAGGGCGAAGGTAAACTTCTACCAGACTACACGGGGGGTTTCAACAAGAAATGACAGAACGAAACAAGTTTTGGGTTGTTGACACAGAGACAAAATGCAGGTTCACACTGGAGAACAGACAAAGTGAACTTGGTATGGGTGATATTTTGCCTCCGGATTAGTACAGCTTCATCGGAACTAACCCACAGACATCTCAAGCTCCATTCACAGGCCCTTCCCATATTTCTTTCTTCATTCTGGACTGGAGTGTCCTGCACTGTCATCGTACAAGAATTTCCGAAGTGCTCGTTCCATTTATTTATCAGCCAATGGTGACCTCATCTCGTAATGATGAGTGAAATTGGACTGAGATAAAAGAAGGATTTATCTCAGTTCGATAAATTACCTTGTTTGGTTTGAAGGTGGAAATGAAATGAACAAGTGTCTTATCTATCCAAAAAAAGACATCATAAATCCTGTCTGATCAATACTTACACCAAGTCGAATTAGAGAGTCTAATAATAATCATGACAAAATTCGATAAGCCTCGTACTCACAAGAAAAGGAAAAGAATTGCAGATCAGACATAGCGTCTAATCTGCAAAGAACTTTTGCAAGAGTGCAAAATTCTATGAATTCATGAGTTCTTAGATACCTGAACACATACCAAGTTGTAATCTATTAACTGCTTGGATAAAATAAGATATGACTCCTCACAATCCTAATCCTCAATTCTGAATAGAAAAACTAAGCGGTCTTCCCACAGATAAGCCTCGCAGAATCCATAACTGACTCCAACCGACACCCATTTCATTCTCGTAACAATTCATACGTTCGATATCGATCGAAATCCTGTTTTAATCGAAATATGATGTTTGATAACTTTGAGTTACTCAGCATTAATTGAGATATTTGCAATGATCAGACTATAAAGGACTGAAATATAGGTGATACAGGTAAATCTTCAAAGACTTTAACAGGCCCGTATCAATACAATTATTTACGATTTAACGACGCTGTCAGTAGCTCATTTTAAACAATAGGCTTGTAGCATCGAAAGGTAGGATAATTAGCGAATATGTTGAATTAGCGGTCGTAGCCTAATTAAAGGCATAATCTCGACATTCGCCTGGCTATACTGAAGCTGATTTCCGTGTCGAGATTTGAATCAGGCACCTCTTGAATACGAAGCCAGAGGGTTAACCATTTGGCCACGACTCATTAGTAGTGGGTTCAAAGGCACTTCAACTGCAACATATTAGCAGAAAATATAAACGTGATTGATAACATAATTATGACGAAGATAGCGTGGTCACATTTCCTGTTTATTTTTGAATCTACGTCCAATGAAAACTGCCAAAAGCACTCAGTAAGGATAGCTGGGGTTCCAGACTACGTTCGAACCAGGTTTAATAAATTTTTCTCGGGGCTACCAGCCGTGTCTGTTGGTTTAATGATCAAAACACCAACGTTTCGAGAACCATCTTCGTCCTCAGGGGACTGAAGTTCGTTTCGTATGTCTTGCCGGGCGTATTGAATACTCATGGTATTTCTTCCCCTAAAATTATTCTAATTGCAGCTTCAACCCTCTTCTGCACTTTCAACGGGCTTTCTGTAAACCATGTTCAGGCATATGTTCATTCACCTCCTGTTACCGCATAACAGTTTCTTGGGTCTGTCCTCTCTTCGACGAGGAACCCGATTTTGACCTTGTCACTAAACGTGAAGTCTGCCAGCTCCGCTGGATTCTCCTCCGGTCAAAAATTTCCGAAGCCACTGCATTCGAGAACAACACTAACAAAAATAGGTTTATTATGAAATTATGAAAATAGCATATTCCGGAATTTTTTTTTTTAAACTCGAAAACTGTTATCACCCCGTCAATATTGAAAATGACAGAACTGTTACGATACGTTATGCGTACATGTCTTATATTGTTTAATATCATTCGTCAAACTTCTCATGATAAAATGCAGAATTACAAGCAATATTACTGTAATAATTTACGTTCTTCTAAGAACTACGGTGTTGATACACGGCTACATCATTTTCTGTTCCCAAAATACCCGCATAAATTTAGCTAAATATTTCAAAATTAACCCTCTGAAGCCAAAGTTTGTCTAAACAATAATGTCCATAAATTAGCGGACGATTTGAAGGGCATGTATGACTTATTTATAACACATACGAAAAACCTCTGTCTGCAGAAATAGTCACACAAGCATTCAAATTGTTACTCTGTGAAAATATCAGGAAATGAAAAGATCCTCTTGGTTGTAGCGTCGTGTGTAGTCTGGTAGAAGTTTACCCAGAAGACAGACATCTCCGTATTAGCCGCTGTGAAGAACCACTAATCCTACGAAATGATCATTGCATACCCAAATTTTCTATAATTTTCACGAACTTAACTGTCTTCTGTGATGATGCATGCGATAACGCAGTTAGCCATTACAAACAACCCCCCCCTCCCCGCACCAGCGATAACCGATGCCTATCGGTCGTCGATATGGCAGAAAAGTTGTTCTGAACACTTATCGCCTGTCAGTCAGCGATAATCTTAAAGAGTGACGTTCTTCAAGAGCGAACACTTCACATTTTAATGGTTGATGTTTCTTCCAGCAACACGTATCACGTAATATCTGTTGCCTGTTGTTTCGGTGTGAACTCCACCTTCGTATTTCCTTGCCACCCCTTCAATATGATTTACCTGTCTTTGCTACCTGCATCAATGTTCAAAATCTCACGTGAATGTTTCCAAGTCTGGCTTCGTATTCGGGATGTTAGAATCGCATTTCTGAGCCTGGATATTGAAGTGTTCTCCATTCCCTCCAGGCTGATTTTGATTTCTTAAATTATGTCATATACTTCATAATTTATCATCCACAATATTTTCCCGTCTCTCGACGTCAGATGTAACCGATAATCCGTTTTCCCCCCCGTAGTTCTCATCTGTTGGTAACATCGCAGCACCTGATACAAGCTTGCACCATCCTTAATTCTGCAACCACCTAAGAGATGGCAGCTGCAGCATTGTTTTGCAGCCTCCCGAACAGTACCAAGACTAAGGTACAGTCGGACAGCCACACCTCGGTCAGCTAAAGGAACTGAAGGATTTTACAGCCACCCGCTGTGTCTGGTGCGCTGTAGGCAAACGTCACATCTCGTTTTTGTTTATATCACAAGGCGTTTGCAATTGGTACGTCAGTGTGGTTAAGATTCGGTGATCAGGAAACATTTACCAAAGGCCCCTTGGTGAATCTTCGAATCTGTGAGGGATCTCGGTGATTCAGTTTCACGCTGGTGAAACCTTTCTGCTGCAACACGCGAGCAGAAAGGTTTTTTTTAAAGAAAAAACAGTGGAAATTTTTCGCATCAAACCTACTTGCTCTCTTTTAATTAGTCTCGTTACAAAATGCACAATATTTGTTGAGCTGCTATGACCAGCTGTAAACTGCGTCATTTGATGCATAGGTTAGACGTCACCCGGTGATATTTTGTTCTTTCGGAGTGGGTGTGGTACCAGACTTTGGTGCGCGAAACCTGATACGATTGTTATAGAACAACGGAAGTCCTAAATAAAGCAACAACAATTTGAGTTTGGGGCGGTCAGACTCCTGAGGATCGCGACAATCACCAGCGTTCTCTTTCGTAAACAAAATTGGCGCCAAAGTTATTGAACATCCTGTTACCAGCAGCTGCAAGATGTACGGTGACTATGCAGTGTTTACATTTCTTCAGAGACGCGAAGAATAGCAAACTATAGTGCGTGAGACGTAACCTGATTCAGACCTGGGACGACAAGGCGGAAATTAAGGCGGAAATCGCACTGGAAGGTCAGTGAAGATGGCACCCAAGTTGCTGAACATCCTTTTGCAGAGAGACAACAGCAATGTCCAGTGGGGATTCAGAATCTCGGGTGGAAAAGATCTGGCCAAACCTCTAACAATTGTCAAGGTACGTAATTCAATTTGGAATTATTCCAACGGCAATGCCAAGGTTAAGAAAGAACGTCCTTTAGGTTGAAATTGGAAGCTGGGGCACAATGACATAGCTACTAGCCCGCTTAACACGACACAATTTAGGCGTAATAACTAGACTTCTGACCTAACAACAAAACAGATGTAACAAACCACATCACTTTCCTGTAATTAACAAATTTCGTGACGAACACAATTTGACGAACTAATAGTCATGGGACATATAAATCCAGTCCACACCCTCTCACGCTGTCGCCATAAAATATATTTTAATATTATCCTACTACCTATTCCTACATCTTCCAAGTGGTATCTTCGTTCCAGGTTTCCCGGCGAAAATTATGTGTGCATTTCCATCTCCCCACCCACGTCACACTCTTTGATTTAATGATCTTAATATTGAGAGAGTTTTCAAGTTCTCAAGGCGGCGAGTATGAAGAGGCTGACTTCTGGGTTGTTGTACCGTGTTGTTTCGTAGAAGTTTAGTGATGTTTCAGAGGTCCTTCCTGCCTCCATCATCAGCATTATCAGGGCGATCAACACCTTGGTGATGGAAGCAGCAAGAACCTCTTAACCGGCGCAACAACCCAGAAGATAGCGATCCTCATCCTAATAATAATGGCGAAGGGAACAAATTATGAAGTCTGACAATTGAAAACAATCATGGCGACCCGTATTCAGAAATCTCTGTAAGGTCAAATCAAGATCTGGAATGCGTCTTACTGATGATGAACACTTGGAAGGATGCATGCGAATACCAAAACATAAATTAAACCTAGATTACTTAAGTAAAGCAATGTTAAATCTCACTAATGAATAATTTTATTTGAGCAAACTGAGTTATACGCAAGCCTGTTTTAAATACATTATGTCAGCAGCGTTTTTAATAAATTTCCAAGACGTTTCGATAAGCAGGTGTGAATTTGGCCTTAGGTCCGGAAAAGGTAGAAAGAGAACCTCTGGATTAATGATTATCCGGAAATGCTGCAATGTAAGTCTTATTGCATCCGGTGGCCTGCATCTGCTCTCCACACAACACAACATCACGGGCTAATTCTCCGGCTAACAGTTCAGAAACATCGGACGGTCGCGAAGAATTAGCAGCTGCTTGCGGGAAACCATGAATTCGAAAAATATGTAACATTGGGTTACATTCGGTCAACTTACATCAAGGCTACTTTTAACACTTCCGTCCCTCAGTTCGGGGCTGTAGCCCCACGCTTCTGAGGGGGCTTAAGCTCCCAAGATGTAAGATTAAGCATGTTTAAGTACGGCGTATTAATTTTATTTTAATTCCAAAATAGAGGCAAGAATTAAGAAATAATGAAAGAATGATAGATAAGGAACAAGGAAATGGAGAAGCCCTCTCAAAGCTGTGTGCTTCTCACAGCTGATTGTGTAGTAGCCGAAGAGAGGTAGCTGATTGTTTCTATTTTAATTATACGGAGACATGCTATGATCTAATTATCGCCCGAGCTACCGGATCATAAGGTCGGACGTAACTCTCTGTCTGTTCATTAACCAACTAACTTAATGCTACAAGCAACGTATAATGACTCTTCAAGAAATTCCTTGGCACAAGAAACCCGACGGCTCATTACCGCCACAACAAAAGCTCGCCATTGTAGCCTATAGAGATTAAAGCATTTCCAGGTGGTAAAGATATTTATGTAAGATCCACTTTGTTAACATTCTTTCATCTCTGGAATATGTTATATTTCTGGGGGGTACAGTCATCGAATCACGAAGCTGACCACTCATCTCTGTCCTAATGTCGAGGTTAAGAATGAACGGACGATGCATATTTTATCATAAGCATTACTGTACTTGGCGCACAAAAGTGACAAATATTATTCGTTCAAGAGAAAAATGTAATAAAATACGCAGATAAGAAACAAATGGTCCCCCCCCCCTCCCACAACCTAATGAGCTGATTAGTTGAGCGGTAACTCGTATACCTACCCGGCATTTGGGAAGTTCCAATTTTGGAAACTGGACGTGTGTTTATAGTGATCGATGCCTTCGTAACTCTTTCAAGTCCCTCTAGGTGGAAGCACCTTGGAATTGGCTACGACATTCTCGTTCTTCATGTGAATACGTACATATTGTACACCGATATAAATAAAAATTAAATTCGCTCGATAACTTTTAGTGAAGGTCCCTGATGTCACATAAGAAAATGTCAAGGCGGTTTTCCCCCTGCATTGCAATGGCAATGGCAATTTGCCATCAAGAATGCATTTTGAAGAGCCTGAACACCACATATATATATATAAATCGCTCCATGACCTCTGTTAACAGAGCGGCAAGGCACGAGCCTCTGTTAGTCTGTGCGGTACCAAATTTAAGAACTCTGTGACAGTGCTGCCAACTTTCAGAATCCTCTAAAAGGAACCATAAAAAATTTAACGACTTAATTTTAAATACAGAGGTTATATAGCATCAAATGAGATGGGAACATGATTACAGATGGTGATGAGGTAGGGGTGTCAGGTGGACAGCGTGTTGTTTAGGGTATAATGACATCGTATCAACTGTGTGGGGTTATAAAAACTGAGGACATCTGTGAACGATAAAGCGACGTAGATCAAAACAGGTTTCTAGGAAATTAAAAAAAGGCTTATTATATAAAAGAATTTGTATTTTTATATAAAATTTGGACGTAAATGAAACACAAAATTATTTGTGAACGTAGGCAGTATTATACAGTGTTATTTTGATATCGATTCTACTGAAGATTTGTATCTTCAGTAGAATCGATATTAAGGCAAAATAAGTTGGAGAGAAGCCTTCTAGAAAAAAATGTCTGTACTCCACAGTTTTTAGGAGTACTCCTTGATGGCTTTATGGCCATGAAAGCTGACTGAATGCGGGCCTATAACTATAATTTCGGGAAGTCCAATGTGCAAATGGTGGAACAGTGTCTATATATGGACAACAGCTGTTTCATTTCAAAACTTTTCCAATTCATATGTGCAAATGTTCCACATGTTTAAAAGTCGTCTTTAAATAAGTCAAGAATTATCAGGTGATGGCACGAATGTGTGCCAGTCGTGGACGCGGTAGACGATAAATCGCAGGTGCTGTTATATCGACTAATCCACTGCAGAGTATATCAAGTCCTGTTTTAATACGCCATCTTCTGGACATCGGGCAACTACATGGCAAAATTTTGACATATCGCCAAAATCAGTGAATCGGTAATTTAAAAAAAGGTCCATCATTTCTTAAAATACAACTTTAAATACGGAAATGAGTTTCAGGAAAATCTGTGATGGGGGGAAAAATCCACTGAGTGTGGGAGATAAGTGATCTGCCAAGTCACTTAGATAGGCTGTTCTTGGATCAAAATACTGTTTACGCAATGAAGCCAGTCAGTTGTTCTTCATGCTCTAACATGAGCGAAAAAACTCCTTTTCGGCTCGTTCATGAGATTTCTCTACGGGTTAGGCAATATGCATGACTGCTGCGGATTGGGAAGAAATGTCAATGTACTCCGAGTACTCATTTTAAACCTTGTTACTGTTATAATAGGAAGCTACAGTGTCTTTCAGCTGTTGGTTTGCTGATTGTTAATGACAGTCAGCAAATTCTAGTCAGCAATATGGTAGGCGTAAATTTGTCCTATAGGACCGATTTACCGCAACTCAAAAGCCATATTTTGAAAGTTAGCAGCTGTTATGGTTACCCGTTTCTTTTCAGAGACCACAGAGAATATGTTGAACATTAGGGTGGCCATACATGCTACGAGTTACAGGAAGACTTACGTCTGGGAAGGCAAACCTTCTGAAGAATGCAGTTCGAAACTCAGTGTACTCCTAAATGGAGTAGGCCTATATATTTACACTCTTGTTATTTTCCGGAAAGGAAAATCCCATAAACTTGGCAGAGAAACTGAAGCGATTTGGACCGTCTCGTGGTCACGTGTGACGTTGCTATATTTATTTATGGCGAAACCGCATCCGAAGATAAAATGAACAGCAAACTCAGGGAACATATAATTTCTGATATAAACCGAACTGAACGAAAGAAAAGAATTAAAAACACACGTATCAGCTGTTGAAGTTATTAGTGGGATTCGACATGTCGACGTCGCGCCGTGAACGATGGACGGAAACATATTAAACGCAGTAATTTATTTTGACATGTCGACGTCGCACCGTGAACGATGGACAGAAACATATTAAACGCAGTAATTTATTTTCTTTATCAAAGCACAAAAATATTTTATTATCTTTTGAATCATTACCACAAAATATTAAAGTACCACAATATTCTTCTGCATACGAACACATATCCTTTGTGCCAGTAATGTTCTTCCAACTATAAAACTCTCACTTTAAAAAATATGCCTTAAATTAGAACATACGTAGCTCTAAAGTCTGTACAGCGTTCGAAAGGGTATCAAACAATACTAACAAACTAAAGTCATTGGGGAGAGTCCGTCTTGAGAAGTTGACAGTTGTATATCCCGATATTTCTCAGCCTTTCGTAAAACTCGAAGGTTCATTATCTGTCCACAAGCGGCAGGCATTGACCCTATCCGGAAAAAAGATATTCCAGTCCATAGGCATTGTTTTTTTATTATCCACTGTTTTAGTCCATCTTTTATGCTAGGAAATAAGGGTTTTGAAACATAATTTGTTTTGACTTAAGTCCTTATCGTGCACCAAAAATACGAGGCTCCTGTATAAGGCGTGCACCTATGTTTTGTATGCATGTGTGACCCTCGTCATCCGTGATACATATCCTGCCAATTTAATCAAACTTAATTTGAAACTGTAATGATATTTGGTGATTAGTACAAAATGTCAAGTTTCTTAATTATTTATAATTTTCAGTATTTTCATGTTTACTTCCTTTGTCGAAAGTCCAAATATTCTTCTCGTCATGCTGTTTTCAAATACACCCTTGCCCTCAAGGTATGAGGCCAAGTTTCATACACATATCAAGAACAGGTAATATCGTAATTTTATAGACCTAATTATTAGAACACAACATTTAATTAAGACTTGAATAACACAAAATCTAACTAAGATTTGAATAACACAAAATCTAATTAAGATCTGAATAACACAAAATCTAATTAAGATTTAAATTTCACATAATCTAATTAGACTTACATGACACAAAATTCAATTAACATTTAAATAACACAAAATCTAAGACTTAAATAATACAAAATCTAATTAAGATTTAAATTTTACATAACCAATTAGACTTTCTTTCTCTCACACTCTTTTACCCTCAGGTGTCGAGGTTTTTATTTATTCGATTGATCTATTTGGACAATGGTAGGACTCCTTGGATGAGTGATCAGCCCGACACAAGGCCTCTACCTACACAAACACAGAAAGATGTGGACAAACATCCATGGCTTTAGTGGGACTCGAACCCACGGTCCCAGCGGCCAGGTGAACGAGGTCCATGCCTCAGACCGCGTGGCCACTGCGGCCGGCCTAATTAGACTTTCATGATACAAAATCTAATTATGATTTAAATTACAGTTACATGGAAAAGTCCACTACGAAGTGGAAAGGAAACTGCACTCTGTGTTAGTAACAGCAAAGTTTGCGCAACAGAAAAAACAACAAAAGTTCCGTGTTTGCTTTGTGATGAAATATTATACCAGAGCAGACAGAAATTGTTGAAGGAAGGATGAGGACACGTACCCTCTGTTTATTTCCGGCTTTCCAACTAAAATATTGTACGCATTTCCTACCTATCCCATGCTTGCTACATGCCTCGCCCATCCCGTCATATCTGATTCTCTCGTACTATTGATGTTTGCAGAAGATTAAGAATTATGTCATCCCGTCATCTCTGATTCTCTCGTACTAATGATGTTTGCAGAAGATTAAGAATTATGTAGAATCTCATTTAACATTCTTCTCTACCCTCCTGTCACTTCATCCCTCAAAGGTCACTCCATCTCTTCTGCACCCCATTCTCACCCTCTGTCCTGTGTGTTTAATGGCGGCAGTCATGATCATATCTGTAGATAAACGGATGTGGGTTTACTGCACAATGTCGCACAGAATACCAGTCCTCGAAAAAACACATTGCAGGCGTAGTTTTATCGGTAACTAAGTCAGAAAACTTAAGAACCACTGATTTGGAAAACATATGGTATATACGCAATACCCTAGACTTCATATCTTGGCTAGGTCACTGCCTGCCTGTTAACTGTTCATGATAATCCTCTGACGGTGAAATAACATTCTTAAAGAACTTAAGAAGCAATAAATGAATGTCGTCTTCACTGCGTGCCGCCTAATCTCACAGGTTTTGTGTTCCAGGTGTTTCCTGGTACGCTTGCTTCCCAGTACTTCGTTCCAGGGGACATCGTTTTGAGGATTCAGGGGTACAATGCAAACGACTTGCTCCACGTGGAGGCAATAGACCTGATTCGAGAGCCCCTGAAGAATTTAGAGCTATTGGTCCAAAAGTCAGACCACATCCCTGCAAGTATATGGGGTCCTGTTCCTGTTCTACACAGACCCAGTGAATGGATTAGGCGGTCAAAGTCGCCATTTGCAGATGATTATTCCGAGCCTAAAATGGAGTTTAGACCAGTTGATATGCTAAGACGGCATTCTGTAGCTGTTAGTCAGGAAGATCCTATTGTAAAGATGGCCTACACACCCACTGCCTTCGATAGTAGAACGAAGCAACAATTTCAACCCCTCACCAGTGCTGGATTTGAAACAACCACGAAGATGCCACCGACGATGTATCAGACACAGGTGATTAATCAAGTATCCTCTGTGACACAGCATATGGACAATTACTTCAATCAGCAAGTTTCTACGGGGAAAAGACCCTGCGATAATAATGCACGGTATGCAAAGGGGCATAGTCAGATATACCGTGAGGTTCAAAAAGTGAATCATAATTTACAAGAACCACAAGGAAGTCTTCAAATCACTTCAGAGTTACCACAAATGACAGATAACCTATATAAACCTCATCTTTGCACATATACAGAATCTCCCCAGATGTCTCATAATGTAGATCTGTCACAGGAAAATATCACCGAGATTCAAATTAAATCTAATAATGAAGCGACAGGGATTATAGAGGAACAACGTAATGTAAAATTAGGGGTTTCTTGTTGCAGAAATGTGGAAGCATATAAGATTAAACATGTAACTGAGAAACCAAGAATTCAGACCACAACTGATGTACTCAAGAGACCCATTTCTCCTGAATTTACAATGTTCCCAAATAGCAAAAGTAACAGCTTGTTGAAGTTGGTGTTAAACAAATCTCTTCAAAATTATTCTCCTCAAGATTTTGAAAAAATCAAAGCATCTGTTACAGAAATTTATGACGGACGTGATGAAGATGAAGACAGTGATGTCGAGGAAGACGAAGACGATGATGCAGAAGGAAATGATACCAGCAGCGAAGAACCACGCAACACGTCTTATGAGTCCTCTCTGGCTGGAAGTGGTAGCTTGATATTCGAAAGGTACTGGATGGCAGAGAATGACGAGGGAGGGTCTTCAGACGACAGTGAACTTCTTCAACAACGTGACATGTCGTGCGAGTCCTTAAGCAGAAACAGCAGCCGCCTTTCAGCGTCCTCTCCTCTTCCAGACTCAGCATCTACTCCAGATGACTCCAGAGGGTAAGAAAACGAACACGAGACATATATTCTCTATAGCTGGAGTTATAAAACTAGGCAGGAAGATAGATAAATAGATATATGTGGAGAAATTGAAGGCATATAGCCTAGATACACAGGCGAATTAAAATATATCTTACCAACAACCTGAGAATATATTTATCGTAATATCGACGTTGCCAGTGTAAAAGGGGCACAACTTCAAAAATTACTACAGACGTATAATTGCTGTTTCATAACCTGCGTTTCATATTACCTGTAATTTGCCAAACCAATCACTTGAAATTTATCTTCCTTCGTGAATTACGTAATTATACTTCTAAAAGTTTTTGGAGAATCGATACACGTCGTTTGTGAGAACTTCCCGAAGGTTGGGTTTCGTTTCATGAGTTTTTAGGGCTTACCCTGGGTCAGGTAATGTGTAGACATGTTTGTGGAAGTGGGTTCTAACACGTGTTCGTGTGACACTCGCCATGGTAATGTGTCAAAGT